TATAATTATTAAATTGGACTTAGAGATTTACAGTCAAATTGCAATAGTATGAAATTTTAACTAGTAGTATAAATTTGCTTTAATATAAGTTTAGAAATGACATAAAATCAACTTTATGTCTATTCTAACAAGAAATTAATAAATCTGATATCCCGCATATCACATAATTGCTGTATTTTAAATTAATGCGGCACATGGAATTATTCTGAAATTGCCGCCTTGACAATCGTGCATTTGAATTCGAATTTCCGATTTTAAGCGGACGGAGATTCAACTAACAACTATCCGTGAGTCTCGTCTGTAGTTTATTAAAATATATACTAAATTAAGTAAATATATTTAGAAAAACAAAATTACAAATAGTTACAGTATTAAACTGAAGAGTGGGTTTGTATTTATTTTTTGTTGGATCGGATAGCAGTTAAATTTCGAATCTTCGCGTTTTAAGGGTCTTGTGTAATGTTTATTTGTTTTGAAATCAATAAAGGAATTAATTTTTAACGGTATGATTTTGACAATGAGTTTTTAAAAATAAAACAAAAATTACTTTTTGATTTTATGTGCATATTTGTTATTTGACAATCAAATTTTATTATTAATTTAAATTTAAGAATATAGGCCGTTTTCATTTGTAAATTACTGAATATTTTAGTGTCTATTATTATCAAAAGTCACTTTATTATCTATTTTCAGTTTAAATTTTATTTAATACTGCACACGTCAAAGAATATTTAACAATATTTGAAAATTAACGCAAAGAAACACAACTAGTTATAGTAATCAATGATAATTAATGGTTTTAAAGTGTGAATTATATAATATTTTAAATTTGATTGAAGCCGAAAAATATATTATTTCGATTTTATTTAATTGCTTCGATAAGTAACAAGAAAAAAACAATTAATTTTAAATAACTAAATTTATAAATTTGCTACTTATTAAAAACTACTTTTAAATTTTTTAAAATTATTTTCTAAATTTCTTATAAAAATTATATTTTTTTCTTTTTTTTTCACATTATTCTTGCTTCCGATATAGGACCATGTTACAGTCATAAAATAACATTAGCAGTTTACAACATTTTAATTAAAAACAGAAGCTCATGATTTTCTATATTCTATAACCCTCTTTTGCATATCTTTAGGAGAAAATTAAAGTTGTTTAATGAATGTTGGAGTTAAAGGTAGAGTAAAATAGTGTGATGTGAAATTATTTTATGTAATCTTGTCTTTTTGCCAACTACGCTTAAGTTTATATAACTCAATAAGTTATATCAATAGTGCCGATAACAAAGAATTGAATTGATAGTGTCAAGTTCAAAGAAATGAAGTTTTGGGAAAAATTTCAAAATTCAAAACGATTTTGTAGAACTTAAATTAATATTTTTACTTAACATTTTAGCATGCAAAATTAAAACTTATTTTTCATAGGTATGATAAGCAAGACAAATTGTTTCCAATACTATATAGCTTGAACACATACCAAAAATATTAAAGCTACTTTACTAGCTTAACGTATTGCGTATGTTTACTGTATAATTTATATAAATACAGGGTGATTAACAGCTAAAATCATTTTTACGAGGAAATCATTTTCTTATTTAAATTAATGTAGAGTTTAAAACAAAATCTTTTTTTTTTAATTAATGTGCGGAAATATTTGTAATTTTTGACAAGTGCATAAGTAATTCTCAGTAATTTTTATAGCTCGGTTGATAAATAACGTAATATTTGTTTCTTAGAATTATTAACACAATATACTAGCTTTGGTTAGCTTATTTAATATAATTTCTTTTCTGGAGGTATAATTTAAAAAAAATCTACTAATGCCATTTATACATTTTATATATTTTATAGAATTTGTACCCTTTGTCTTATTATTATCACTTCCGCTTTGTCTCATTGAGAGTAATAAAATTGATTGATAATTTCGATTAAAACTAATTATCTACTTAAAATTAGTATTTAATAAGCTGTTTTTATGAAATTTAATAATTAGTGTTTTTATGTGTTATTAAGTAAAGAGCTTTTATTTAATTAAACATTATGAAAAGCTTTGAAATTTTCTTTGGCCAACATACTGATTTCGCTATTTACTTTTATAATATGTATAGATAATAATTATGACTGCAGCTCCAAAGTAATAATTATTATCAAAGTAAATGATAATTATGAAAGCAGAACCTGTAAATAATAATTACCACCGTACTAATAATAAATATGAATGCAATGTCATAAATTCTATGTTTCTATTGCATACATTATTGTGAGTTATTGAATTTTGAAATTTCTGTTGAAAGCTTTGGTGTAAAGTTATTTTAACACACATACATATCTATATAACATAAGTTAAAATTATAAATAATTGGTGATTTATTTTACCCTTTGGTTTTTCTTTTTTTTTTTTTTAATTTCAACCATTCGCTTGTGATTTGTTTCATAAATGAATTGCAAATAGGCTCAGTTTTGTTTGATACTTGTCCATAGACGGGCTAAGATCTGAGCAAAACGATTTCAAATTGTTAATATTTATCATCATCAAATACATGTACATACTTTCAATGAGCATAATTAATTTTATTTTTGGATTGATTTGGATTGGATTGATGCGATTCACGTCTTTAGATGACGTTTTTTTTTTTTTTCAAAGTACATACACATTTTGAATCTCTTGTTAACAACTATTCGTTATAGATTAAGTTTTTGGAAAGCAAAATTGAATGTATTATTGGTAATTGTCTTCCTAAAATATACATATACGAAAACATGCCTCAAAGTTGAATCTTGTTGGATGGACCACCTAAGAACAACGTTAATAGAAAAACATTTTTAAAAACTAAATTGCAAACAATTCCCGATTATAAATTCAAATGACAATTACACGCAAATTTCTAATATTTTTTTGTATTTTTCTTTAAATAAAAAATTGTAGGTTTTTTACGCAGGAATACTTAAAGAATGAAATTTAAAACAAGGGACACATTTCTTCATGCCTCTGTAGCTCAGTTGGTAGAGCGTCCGCCTAAAAAGCGGTAGGTCGCTGGTTCGAGTCCAGTTCGAGGAGAAAAATTTTTTTAATGAATTTTTCTGCCTTTAACTCGTTCCTTTGATTACGTCATCCATCTGTTCTGCAGTTGCATGAAGAAATTTCCATTAAGATAAACAAGGGACACCCTGTACATGTATATTTTTTTTTTAATCGAAAATCAACAGAAATAACTAAAAAGTAAATAAAGAAAAAGAAAATGAAAAAAAAATTTCAATCGATTATAGAGAATAAATGTGGTGATTCGTGTTGGTTTTTGGTTGATTTAAGAAAGATTTTAAAAATCGCATTTATAATTATTTTTTTTTTTTTTATTTTGTTTTTTTTGCTTTTAAGTTAAGACTTAAGAGGGATTTTAATGTTTACTTCAATTATTTTTAATTTTCATTTTTCTTATTTCGAATTTTCGAATTTATTCTCGAAAATTATTAGTTTTCTACGTTTCTTTTATACAACGAAACACAAATAATATTATTTACAGTGTGGTGATCGTGTTGTGCGAAAAGAAATATGATTTGATTTTTCATGGGATTCAAGAAATAGAAAGAAGTAAATGAAAGAAAACACAACAAAAATCGTAGTTACTTGTATTGTTTACTTTACGTTATTGTTATTATTATTTTTTTTTCTTATTTTAAATGTAATTATTATTTAAAGCTTAAATCATATTGAAGCTGAGAGCTGTGCAATAAGAAAACAAGTAAAATAATTTTTTTCTTATTTTGTTTTTTTGTTTATTAACCTGTATAATATATACAAAATGTTCGAATGCACACATAAAAGTAAAAAAGAAGCAAAGAAAAAAAAAAAATTATTTAAAAAGATTTGAATTAACTATAGTAAATTTTCTTTTCATAAATGATTTAGTCGATTAAAGTCTTTTCAAGCGTTCAGTTCAATTCTTTTTTTAAGTTTAGCTCAAAAATTTTTGAAAATTTTTAAAAATTTTTGGAGTTTTTCTAAAAGTATAAAAAGGTTTTTCATTTCTCTTTCTTTTTTCTTATTTAACGTACTTAAATAAGAAATCCGAAAAGAAATATAAGAAAATTTTTAAAATTAGATCAAAATTTATTTGGTTCAAATTTTTGAAATTTTCTTTTATGAAAAATTCATCATAACAATCATTAATTTTTGAGCCTTTTTTTAATTTTTGATATTTGTAATTTTTCGAACTTAAAAAAACATTATTTTTTAAATTAAAAACCTGGGCAGGAAAAATTCCGGAAAAGCTATAAATTTACGATAATTAAGAGGCTTGTTAAGTGAAAAAAATTTTCTTTTAATATTTTATGTACATACATATGTACATATATGGTGATGAAAAATTAACAAGTTTGAAATAGAAAAAATATACAAAAAAAATTTATACAAAAAAAAAAATTTATGTGTAAATGTGCAATATAGAGAAAAAAGGAAGACAAAATCGTTAAAGAAGAAAAAAAATAGTTAAAGAAAAAAGTGAAAGTCCATTATTATTATTTTTTATTACTTAAACTATTATGAACTATTGCTAACTCTACCTCTAACTCTAGCTTGCTTGCTTTTAAAATGAATTTTTTTTCTTTTTGATTGATTACTTAAGTTTAACTGCTTACGAAATAACGGGGGAAAAAAAAAAAATTTTTTTTGCTAAAAGAAAATTTTTGAAAAGAAAAATCAGAACTACAGAAAAAAAAAAAAAAAAACAAAAAAAAAAAAACTAAAGTGCGTGAGTTGAAAAGTAGTGAAAAAATTATAGAAAAAGCGATAAAAAATTAAAGACCGCGTTAAAGTTGAATTGATTAATGTTTTTTGTTGTTTATTTTTTTTGTTACTTAAAGGAAAAATAAAATAGTTAAAAAAGACAAAAAAAAAACACAATTGATTTGAACGCAATTTTAATGAAAAATTTGTTTTTTCAGTGAAAATTTTAAAATTTTTAAATTTTTTTTTACAAATTTTTTTTCTATTGTAATTTTACACATAAATGTGTACATACATAATTACAACATTTTTTTGTTACTTATAATCTGTTTTAGCTGTAACATTATTAAATTTCATGAGAATTACATAATTTTTGACTGTTGAAAATTGTTAGACCAAAAAGAAAAATTTTTTGTAAATTGAATTTAAGTACATTTCGCTACACTATAAGTACAATTTTCATTAAATGTAAGTATATATATAGTTTTAATATATAAAAATCTATCTGTTTATAATTTATTAATTCTATATTTTACAATATAATATGGGCATATATGATCAGTATGATGTAATATGTCGGAGGCAATGTAGTGCGAAATATTGATTATATAGAGTCATAATTAGTATTTTAAAGGAAATTTCAAGTTAGTTTTATGATTACTTAATTAAAAGTGTAATCAATTCTGACACTGTATTTTTTTGCCATATTTCATTTATCATTATCATTTTCTCCGTCTTCTATAAATAGGTATAAAAATATCTACGATTCAAAAAGACACTGAGTTAATGTAGCATAGTTACTATCATTAAGTTTGCGATTGACCCACCTCTCGAAGTGTACGAAGTGTATCTATTTTGTCGTCCATTACATTATATGTTAATTTCTTAAATTTTGCTTCAATTTTTGCGTCATGTATTCAAACACTTGTATTTCTTCTTCTCTGTCTGTACTTAGATTTGTCATGAAATGGTTTCTTCCTTTTAAAGGTATTTTAAGATTCTGACTCAAATTTAGCTTTTAGAGAATTTAGATTTCATAATAACATTTTTTTTATGTATTTAATAGCTTAGGCATTAGAATGTTTCTCCAAAAAAATTATTTTACTATGTATTAATCATAATATCAGTTCTAAACCATAATTATATTTGTAAGCCTAAATCTCTTTTACATTTGGGACAAATATAGTCTTTACATTAAATTTATATTTTTAGAGTGGTTCGATTTAAAAAATTTAAAAAGATTTCCAAATATTTTAATACTGTATACGTGCGATTCCAATTGAATAAATGGTCATAATTATTTTGCTATATAATAACCACATACATAATACTATGCATTTAAATAGAAAAAGTGAAACTCTACTTTTCAAAATTTTCGTTTATATAAATCACTTTTCAACTATTATTTTATATAAGCACCTTATTAATTACGGGAAATAATAATTTTAATATTTCACATAATTTAATGTAAATTTCATGTTCTTTAATTTTCAAATCATCTAATTATATATGATTTAATTAAAAAATAGTGTGATAATTTTTTTTGTCTTTTTCACTTTTCGGTTTTATTTTTTGTAATAATTTCGGTTTTTTCTTTTCCGGTAACAGAAATATTTGTGTTCGGTGAAATTTTTCATAATTTTCTTTTACACTAACTGTGAATATTGTAATTTTAATAAAATATAATTTTAAAATTAGCTACAAATAAAAATCATAATTATGATATGAAAGTAATTTGATAGAAAAATAATAGTATTTTGCATATGTATAATACGAGTAGTAATTTTTTAATTTAAATTATGCATATGTATTAATATTACACAAAAAAAAAACTGATGTGGTCAGCACAAAACGACCGTAATGTGAATAGTTTAGTGAAAGTGTTACAGATTGTTTATAAATATTCCTTTTAAACACTTCCTTCCAAATTTACACTTTTCTACATATGTATGTAGTAAAGTGTAAATTTGGCTCTTAGTAGAATTTCGCTTTGTGTCACCCGAATTCCCTGAGAAGTTAGCTTCGGTAACAACCAGAACATAAATATCAAATTTCAGAACCCCAATCAATCCTCTCCGTAGATATCGTAAAAAATGTAAAATCGGCTCCTATTATGGAGAAGTAGTATTATTTACGCTTTCCTGCTATGGAGAAGTGCGCTCCCATTAAAAACTCGGCATCCGAAATTTGATGCCATTACTTAACCTCTCTCATTGTATGCAATGCGGTTTGTAAAAAAAATGACGTGTGTTGCTTTGTAAAATTTCCTTGAAAGTGTTCTTGTTGATCATCCATTGTCATATGGTTTAAGTAGTTATATTTAATAAGAAGCGTTTACAAAAGGGTATAACAATACTATATGGGTTATACTCGAAAAACTGAAATACTCTAGAAAGTTTTATGAAGAAAATGTTACGAAAATTAATGAAATTTATAAAAGAAATCTTAATTAATAGCAAATATAAGCTTTAAATTGTAAATTGTTATATAAAGTAAAAAAAAAAATTTAATGTGTGAATTTTCTATTACATGGTAATTGTTCAACTCTTTCATAATAAAAAAAATTTTGCACTTTAATTAGATTTTTGCCATATCTAGTTAATTTGCGAAATTATTTTCTAAAAACAACTTCAGTTAAAATCATACTGATTTCAAATTACTCAACCATTTAAATTAAAAAGAATATGCAAAACTTAAACTATATCAAATTAAAATTTATATTTCAGGTGAATTAAAAAAATGTAATTGGATTCATTAACGTAACAATTTCTATTTTTTGTTTTTCTAAATTTATTACTTATTCTATTCGTCTATACATATGCATACAATCATTAACGCATTTTTTTTTAAATCACCGATTCAAACAAACTAAGTTTTTTTGTATATAACTTGAATTTTCGGTGCCTTTAGCAAAATTTAAAAAAATTTTCCAACAGTTTTTTACTCATAATTATCTGGTTTTTTACTCGCGATTCCAAATCACTCTGCATAAGATCAGGAGAATAAGAATACTTATTTCTAATAGTTCATTATGATGAGAATATTTTATTATTATTATGTGACCTAGGGACGTCTAAACATTATTTGTTTTTGCTATAAGATTGCAAAATTTGGTAGAACGAACAATATTGTCTACTATGTATTAAATATGATATAAAACGCAGTATATAAAAGTCTACAGTATCGTATAGCAATATTTATGTCTTAACCATAAGTCGATATTCTAGTGAATTTAGTCTAAATTTATTCATAGTTTTGAAAGCGTACATACTTAAATACTTAAGGTATGCATATGTTACCAAATTTTTAAAGAAATTTTTGAACGCATCAATAATTTTAAAAGTATTAATTCACGTTGCAGTTAGCATGCTATTAAAAAAATAAGTAAAATATTTTAAATATTCAAGATATGACGTATAACGGTACAACAAGTGGTATAATATTAATAAAATTGAGTCATTTTCATATAATATACAGAGTAGAGTATGGATATGAATTTGGGATTTGTTGAGTGCTTTAAGTGCAAATGTACAATTATATTTGCCGGGCATTTAATAATTGTGAATATGGGTATACATGCCATTTTTCTGAGAAAATGAGAAACTGTGTAACGAAAAATAGAACGCGTTTTAAGTAGCAGATGAATGTTTAGGTCTCTTATAAAGTAGCAGTTGAGTGTTAAGACAGATATACTGAAACGAACAAAATCTCGATTTAGATTAAAGTATTGAGATAGTACTTCTATGCCAATACCTTTACGGAATATAGATGATAGAGTAAAAACTAATGGTTAGTCAGTTGGACAAGGTTTAGGAAGCCATGATCACTCAGGTTGAATGATGGATTTAGGAAGCCAGCGTTTCAGGTTGAATGAAAGTCCCCCACTATTGATAAACCTGATGACACGAATCGAGTCCGTCTTTCTTTGCCTCTCGATGATTTTTAACACCTGTAAATGTCATATAATAATTTAACAATCAAATTAGAACATTGTTAAACTTAACGATAATTTTCCCTTTCTATAATCATACTGAACATAATAATGCAAAACATTAAAGGAAGGTTAAAACAGCTGGTAATAATACCGTAAATAAAATTTTTATTGCACTACCTTCTATATAATATATACGAATTCATTAACTTTTAAAAATATTTTGGTTATCTTTGCCAAATTTTGAGTGCTATTATTAATTTTTAGCACATTTGCAATAAATTTTGAAAAAAAAAAATGAATTGTAGGTTCCACAGGTTGTCTTTGTCCGTCGTTCCTTTCCTGAATAATAACCCAGGAACCTGAAAATTTCGCTTATTTCGCCTATTTCTTCGATACCATAAACTGTATCGAACTCCTGATAACTAATGCACCAAATAACTTACTATTCTAAAAATTTAATAACTATTTGCGCTGCCGATTTATATGTAGTTAGAAGAAAATATAATAATGTTGGCCGATCAAATCAATTTATCATCATTAAAATATTAGATTTTTAAACTTCATCACATATTCTAAAATATTTCTTTTGATTCTAAATTTATTATTGCTATTATTGTGTTTATTTTTGTAATTAATTAAGTGGACTTATATTATTGTTCGTGAATATTCTATTTGTTTTTATTTTAATTAATTTTATTTGAATATATTTAAAATAAATGCTATTTGTATAACTAAGTACTTTATGTATTTCGAATTTTAAATTTATTTTCCAAAGTAATTTAATGATAATTTAAAATCGTGAATATTTGCTTATATTTACGATTTATTTCTAAACAACAACTAGGTATAAGTTAAGGTTTATTTTAAAATGAGCTTTTCATGATAAATAAATTAAGTTTTGGTTTATGTAATACTACAGGTATTTGTATGTTTAATCATATATTACATTATATGGAATTCAAGAAAAAAATATAAAATAAAAATTTAATAAAAATATTTTTAAGTTGCAAGAAAGCATAGAAAATTCAGATGTCTGTCGCGGCGGTTGAGGATGCAGATTACGTTTTGGACAAGACTATTCGTTAGTGGGATATGAAAATTGTCGTATATATTAATAGCGATTTTGAATTCAAAATTAATTAGAACTCACATTGATCTGCATATAAAATAAAATTTTTGTAACAATGAATTCTGTCTAATGCTGATATAATGGGGAAGAGGGGAAGTAGGCGATTGACTTCTTTTGCACATGGGAGGTTTAAGTTCTTAGTACCAAGCTTCCTTGATGCTAGATCGATTTTTGTGAAATCAGGTTAGTCGATTGGTAACATTAAAGTGGCGATGTGTGGAGTCGACGGAATCAAAATGAGTCCCCCGAATATAAATGTTCTTTTCTAGATTTCAAAATCTATAGAATTTTTTTGAAAACCTAATATCTCCATGTGAGTTGTTCAGTACTTGGCTATTGTGTTAAACATGTTTCAAGTTGTTGTACAAGTTGTTTATATTATACGATTGATTTCAACTGGATACG